GTCCAAGGGCGGAAGCTAACAAGGATGGGGTTGGGATGCTGTCGTCGCTGCTGCTGCTGGCTGCTGTTGTTAATGCAACCACAACCACATTACCACGTCTCAGTTATTGATCACTTGCTGTGTCAGGTGCTTTGCACATTGTTCTTGTTCTGGCAATCCTTTAAGATGTTTCCTTCTTGTAGGCTGGGTAGCTTGCCAAGGTCACACAGCTGGTGAGTGCTGCAGCCGGGATTCTAACTCAGGCAGTCTGGCCAACTGTCGCCCAAACTCAGAGTCCCAAGTGTCAACTCCCCCAAGAAGTGTCCCAGATATGCCCTCAGGCCTGGCGCCTCCCCAACTCTTCTGTTAACCTTCCCCACCTCCCCCCACCCCCCAGGGAACTGCTCCTTAGCCTCCAAGTCCTGTCCACATGGCCACACTCTTCTAGAACAAAACGGAATAACCCCTGACGTCGTGGAGTCCCTACTGCAGCGGGTCCTGGAGATCCAGGCCCAGGGCAGAGCTTAGATGCCTCGGAGGCTCCCAGACCCTCCCTTCTGAGCAGGGAAGGCTTCTGTTGGGGAGGGACCCAGGCCCTGACAGGGCGTGGAGGTAAGGAGGGGAAGCTGGGCTGGGTAAGGGGAGCCTCGGGGATTTGAGAATCTGATCCACCCGGTTCTTAAGCCAGTCCTGGTCACGGAGCCCCCGCTGGGACGGAGCTCGATTCCCAGTCCTCCCAACTATCCTCGCTGTGATCCTTAGCTCACAAACTATCACAGCTGGGAAAGAACCTCAGGAATGATCCAGTGAAAACACCACCTCCTTCTGTAGATGGGGAAGGTCAGGCCCAGAGAGGGCAAGCAGCTGTCCCAGATCACACAGCCAGAAGCGACTGAGCCAGGAAGAGAACTCCCAGCGACCTAGCCAGGGCTCTCTGCTCAGCCCCAGTTCTGCCTCCCCCCTCCCGCAGCCCAGAGCCCTATGGCCCTTCCCCCACGTGCCTGTAGGCTACCCACAGCAGGCCTAGAATTGCCTAAAGCCCACAGCCTTCGGGGACCAGACACAGGGGAGCAGGGACAGGGACTTGGCTGGGGCTGAGAGGAAAAAGAGTGGAAACAGCATTGATCCTCTCCTTTCTCTCCCTTTCTGGGAGAGATGCCTCCCTTCCCCTGCACTCCCGTCCCTGAGCCCCTGTCTCGAGGCCTCCAAGGGGGCCAGTGTTTTCACTCATGCTGAGGGAAGCATTCTCAAGAAATGGAAGCAAGGATTCTCCTGATCACTGTATTATCACAGCTCTCACGGTAATGGAGCCAGTGGGGAGTGACGGGGAGCATGGTGCTCAGGGGACATCCCCACCCAGGCCCCAGCAGAGGACCTGGGGCCTCTGGACATGGCTGTCCTCCCGCTGTGCCGGCCTCCGGGCTGCAGGTGGAGGTTCCCGGTGAGGACCCAGCCAAGGGCAGACGGGGGCCCGGGGGATTCGGCGAGACAGGGGGTGCCCGTCCTTCTCGCTTCTGGAGCCAGCGGCTTTGGGAAGGGCCCCAAATGTTGGGGGACTAAGGGCTTTCTCAGAGAACCTGGGAATCCCTGGAGCCCAGGAGAGTGACCCTCCTCCTGCTCATAGCCACAGGATGGCAGGTCCTAAAGAAGGTCTGGGAGGCTGTAGGGCACCCAGTGCCCACGGGCTGGACCTGCTGGCCTGGGGGAGGGGCTCCAGAGAGAATTGCTCGGGGTCAGGGGCTGCAGGGAGCAGCGGCCAACCTGGGGGACACCGTCCTCACAGCTCCCAAGGGAAGGCACGGAGGTGACACAGCACACTGCTTCCGTGGTAGGTAGCTTCCCTCACACTGCTGCGCATCCTCCCGAGATGCCCCATGTGTCCTCACCATCCTTTCCTGTCTTACCCCTTCCCCTCTGTCCTCTGCTTCTGGCTCATTTCTCCCCTCCCTTTTCTGATTCTAAGGAGCCCCCTCTGGAAAGTCTGGCCACTGGCCCAGCAGGGCAGGGAGAGGGAGGAGGGAAGGGGGTTGTCCCTCCATGATGCACCAGCAGCTAGCTCATTTAGGTATTGTGACTACGCGGCAGGGGAGAGAGCTGCTCCCCTGGTGTCCCTTGGCCTCGGGTAGGGAGAACAAGGAAGGACAGTGAGAATGAAGAAGACTTGCGGCGGTGG